TTTTTTCAGACAATTGCATAGTAATTTAGCTTACTTGTGTGGAACTTCAATCAGCTCGTCATGGTCATTGGACCAAGCGGGACGTACGCGGTGGATATCCTGCAAACACAGACTGCAGAGGTGATCGTCGTCATTTCGTGAGTCGTTCACTGGCATTCTTCCTTCCATATATCATACATATTCCATCCTAATTCAATGTTTTTCAGAGGAATTCGCCATTTCTTCGCGGCACAGGCGTCGGCTTTTGCGCTTCCGTTAATCGAGAGCATCGGCGTGGTAGCTACCTGTGCACTTGCTGCCAGTGTAGCCTGGTTTGGTTTCGTGTAAGCGCAGCGGATTTACGCTGGTCTTTATGTTACTTACTGGTCTTCCAGATTATTATTCATAACAATCATATACGGCACTCGCCTAAGGAAGTGGGTAGATTTGGGATATACAACGACGGCGGACGGTACCTCATGATCTTGAAGAATTCTTTAGATTCAGCGCATGCATCTTATAATTTTTCTTGAAGTATTTGATGATATAATGCAGACTTACAAACAGCACAACTGAATTCCAACGGTTAAAGAAGAGTGGATACATGGTAGAGTAAGGAACGATACTTCAGCATTTCATTCGAGTTCAAGTTTAAGTCCGAGTCCACCCGCCTCTCATCATATACTCGCTTCTTCCAATGCTTCATCTGCTTTAATCAGACCATCGTCCTCTGGCGCAAGGATCTTCCTCGCTGATACCTAAGGGAGTTTCCGAAAGGAGCTCTGGGTCATCTTGGTAATCATAAAGCACCTGTTGTAGGTTAATACGAGGGTCCAATACTAAATTATATTAGAAGAGAAACGCAACGGAATGCAAATTAAACTCACAACTGGCCTAAAGAATGTAAGGAGATTGATCAATCTTGAAGAAATATAGACTGTCGAAAAAATCATAGAAAATCAGAGAAAAGATCAATCAATTCTATAGAGTATTAACCTAATACAAGCCAACACTTAAGGCCTAGAAATGCTATCAACTGGCCATATTGCAGTAAGACACGGCGGTGGGAGTTGGAGGCTTGGCTAAAGTAAAAATAGAACGAGACTGCATCAGCATGCCGCTCGTTCCATTCTGGGTCGTGGGAGCGAACCCGTATCCGGCCGTATGTGTACGGGCGCATACGGCACCTCTCAGTAGTACCGTATACGGATACGGGGATCGTGTCTGCGGAACCCTTACGATACGGGCACGGCGCCGTAATAAGGTGTCGACCCCTACACACGCGCATTTGCATCAACCACAGCTGGACGCGTACGCGCATGCGCAGGTCCATATGCCGCCGCCGCATTCGCATTCGCAGCCA